TGCTAACGGGGCCTGGGGCTCCCCCGCCCGAGGGAGCAGCCTGGCTGATTTCCCTGCCGTGGCAGGGGGCTAAAAGGGATGCGATAAGGTTGAACCTGCTCTGTGGGGTCCAGTTCCTGGGCTGAGAAAAGGACGCGGAAACCTCCCTCCACCCTACAAAGCATGAGGGTCTTCTAACCCACGGAGATGCCCCGCTGCAGTAAGGCAGGGGGACAGCACCGTTGCAGGGGGACGGGAACGGGAAGCAGAAAACTCCCGCGAGACACCGCTCATTCCTGCAGCAGCCATCCTAGCCCTGGGGGTAGCGAACGAAGAGGCATAAAAGGGCGCTCCGGAGGAGCAGGGAATAACCTGTTTTCCATGAGCACAGCAAATAGTGTGAGGCATCCTTGCTTCCACAGCTGGCTGGGTTCGGGCGTTCGCTGGGGGGCTGGCGGTGGGCTCCCCCGAGCCGGTCCCCAGGAGGCTGCAAGAAGAGGTCGGGGCTGTGGGGCAGCTGCCTGGCACAGGAGGGAGGGAGTGGAGGGATGGCGGGGTGCAGGGATGGAGCAGGGCTGGCAGGGTGCAGGGATGGAGGGATGCCCGTGCGGTTGGGTGGAGGACAGCACCATCGTGTGGCACAGTGTCTGCACAGGCCCTGGGCTGCAGGGACAAGGACGCCCCAGGCCAGGGCTGGCGGGGGGGCTGCCTGCAAGGCCTGGCTGCTGGAAACCCTAGCAGAGACCCTTCCACTTCCCACCAGCAGCACAATCCCCGTCCCCCACCTGGCGTCACAGCCGCCATCCTCCACCCCTCAGTTCCCCCACCCTGTGCCTCTAAAACTTGGCAACGTGAAACCAGAGCAGTCCTTAACTCTCCCAAGAGCAGGCGTGTGCAAGCACCCAGCACCCGTGCCAATAACACCCACCTCCCTGCAGCTCCGGGCTCTGGCTCTGGCGGAGCTGGTGGGTCTGCCTGTGGCTGACCCTGAGCTCGGCACTGCGGGGGGCTGCACGGGGCTGAGGCCGGGAGAAGGGGAAGGTTTGGGGACATGGATGCCACAGGAGCTGGAAGCGATCAGTGCCCTTGCCTCGCTGTTGGGCAGAAGGGTCCAAGCCACTGTTGCTCCTAAAGACAGCAGAGCTGGTGGTAGGCACATGGGGACCGCTCCGGGACCTGCAGGAGAAGCGCCAGGTGACATGCACACCACCACATCGGTGCAGGATGCCCAGTGCTCCCACAGAGCCGCCAGCTCCTCCAGCCCTGGGAGCTGTGTCCCTCCCAGCCCTGGGGAGGGCTGGGACTATTTTGGCATCATCATCATCAGCACCAGAGCCCCAAAATCCCCTCCTTCAGGCCAGGTTTTTGCCAAGCGACCCCCTCGCTCCAGGCTGCCTGGTCTGAGTCGGGATGGACCAGCTGCCTGGCCATCACTGGAGCTGCAGGTGGAGCCAGCACCCGAGGAGGAGGAGGAAGAGGAGGAGGGAGGCCAAGTCCCAGACCACGCTGGCCCCCAGCCGTGCCAGCTCTGAGGCTCACTGGCACCTCGGGGACACTGTCTGCACTGCCAGACACACCTCCGGCGAAGCGCAGCCGGGGGCTGGGGCTTTCCCTTTTTAGTTTCCTGGCTCACCCTGGGCCAGCCGCGCTGCAGCGAAGGCGTCCGGCAACCCCTCCGCTGCGATGGAGCGGGCTCCAAACCTGGTAGGTGACGGCACCGCCACGCAGAGCTTGTCGCTCGTTTTTCTTCTTTAATATAATTATTTACACTCTTGTTTATTGATGGCTGCTTGGGTTTGTTTGCTTTGGAGATGCATGCTTTGGCCTGCAAGACCGATCGCTCCCAAGCCTGGCACGGTCGGGACAAAACAGCCTTGGAGAATAAACGGGAGAGAGCCAGCCGGCAGAGCCCGGCACA